ATGTGTATGTCCATTTAATTAGAGAGCATTGGTGCTCTCAATTTGATTGCTTCTGGGAATTTTGGCCAAAAAAGTTTCTGAACCTATAAATTTAGGGTTTGGACCCTGGAGGGTGATGATCACATTATGGCCCTGCCCTCCAGGGACCTATCTAGACAGTCACACCTCTGTCTGGTTGGAGCACCTTTTGGAGTCCTGACAACCAATGACATCTTCCTACCTACATTTAAAAAGTTATGTTTACTTTAAAAGTAATTAAGGTCTTTAAAACAGTTGTTTCCCAGTTAAATCTGGGCGGTTAGCTTATTCTTTTGCCTTATGGAGGATACGCTTCCCTACGTGTAACAGGTCTACCCTGTCCAACCCCTCATATGGTTGTTACTTTTTCTTGGCAGCTATCTCTCGTGCAGGCTGAGCTACAGACCCAGTGGGAAGCAAAATGTGAACATCTGTTGGCCTCCGCCAAGGATGAGCACCTGCAGCAGTACCGGGAGGTGTGTGCACAGAGAGATGCCAACCAGCAGAAGCTGATACAACTCCAGGAAAAGGTAGATGTTTTCCCTGGGCCAGATAGCATAGGCAGCCCCGTGAATTTGAGGCAAATAGTCTATTTGAGTCCTGTTCATCCTTTTGCGCCTAAAGGATGTTAATAGCTAGAGAACAAAACCATACTTGTTTAATTCTCCAGTCTGTTAATTGTCTTTCACATACTTGTTTGGGGTCTCAGGTCAGTGACCTACAAAAAGAAGAAAACAGCACTAGTCTTCTGAAACATGTTTCCCATTATTATTTGATCCTTCATTTATTAAGCAGATATTTATTGAGTGTCAGCTGTGTTCCAGCCTCTGTGTTAGAGAAGGCATACAAAGAACTCTGCCCTCAAGAATCTCACAGTCAAGAAAGGGAGACAAAGAAAGAAACAAAGATATGCATTAAGTGCTGTGGGGCCCAGAAGAGGAAGTGCCTAGGGGAGCTGGGAAGGCTTCCCAAAGGAGTTGACATCTGAGCAGAGCCAAGCAGGACAAGTAACTCTGGTAAGGTAGAGAAGGAGGCAGAACAGCATGGGCAGAGGCACTGAGATCCAATGGTGGGATCATCAGGCATAACAAGGAGAGAGCTGGGAAATGGCTTAGGGTCATGGTATGTAAGTCCCATATCTGGAGGTCAGTTTCTTTCCTTTGACTCAGAGATCTTGGAGGCAATCTTGTAGGTTAATGGGTTGCTGCTAATGCTGAATGTTTACACTGATGTATCTAGAGTTATTACCACCACCAACACTCCCACTCTTTTCTCATTATATTCTTGACCTGATTAGGAACAAGGCAGGTAACCTTGCTGGGAAGGAGGATAGAATGTTCTCCATCAGCAGGTTTGGGGTCGGGGCAGAGGGGTGGTCACCAGCAGACCTATGTGAGATTAAGACCTGATGCTTAGGATAGTTCTCCCCTTGGGTTTTCTGATCTTCCCCTGGTAGCCCAGGTTCCCGAGGTCACAGCCACAGTCTGTTTTGCAGTGTTTAGCCCTCCAGGCCCAAGTCACATCTCTCACAGAGCAAAATAAACAGCACATCAAAGAATTGGAGAAGAACAAGTCCCAGATGTCCGGAGTTGAAGCTGCTGCTACTGACCCCTCAGAGAAGGTAAGCTGGTATTTCAAAGAAGCAGCATGCCATATCATATCAAGGGGTTAATGTGCATATCAAGCATTCAGGAAGAATGTGGCCAATGTGTTGGTAGCTTTTTTTCTAACTTTAGTGATGCATCACTTATCTGAGTTAAAAAATAATCCTTTGGAACCTACCACCCTGGTGGCAAATCCCAAAGGGCCCTATCCTTCTGATGTTTTGACAGATAAGGAAAGTGCCTCTAAATCACAGGCGAGGAATGGGGGATGAGGAGCGTGCCCAGCATCCATTAGCCACTAATCCTTGTAGCCCTTAGCAACTCTTATTGGTGCTCACAGTGGGAGGGAGGCATCAATAAATGGTCTTTTTTTAAAAAAATTTGTTTTATGTATTGAATCAAAATCGATTGTACACGGGCCGGCCCGGTGGCGCACTGGATAGTGTGCCACTTGGGAAGCACGGCAGTGCTCCCGCCCGAGGGTTCGGATCCCACATGCAGACCGGCTCCCGCTCACTGGCTGAGCG